CACTACTCCATACTGTAAACAGATGTACTGGCATCTGGGCTTTGTTGTTCCATATACAGAGCACAAGCAGAGTAGATTTAGCATCATTCTTAAGAGATCCACGGTTTGTGGAATGGTAAGTGAGCATTGGCTTCAACTTAAAGTCACCAGCTGCATAAGACTCTAACAAGACAGTCAGGCTGGCCTTTGAACCCAGGCACTGACTTCTCCTCTCTAGCTATGAAAGGCTTAGACAGCATCTTTTTCCAGTATCAGGCTGTTCCATCCACATTGAAAATGTGCTGTATAGTGTAGCCACCTTCATCAGCAATCTTAGCTAGATCTTCTGGATAACTTACTGCAGCTTCTCCATCACCACTTACTGCTTCACCTTGCATTTTTATGTTACAGAGATTGCTTCTTTCTTTAAACCTTGTGAACCAACTTCTGCTAGCTTCAAATTATGTATCATATATATATATATATATTTTTTTTTAAGTTTCTGGGTACATGTCCAGGATGTGCAGGTTTGTTACACAGGTAAACATGTGTCATAGCGGTTTGCTGTACCTATCAACCCATCACCTAGGTATTAAGCCCAGCATGCATTAGCTATTTATCCTGATGCTCTCCCCACATCCCACTGCCTGACAGGCCCCAGTGTGTGCTGTTCTCCTCCCTGTGTCCATGTATTCTCATTGTTCAGCTCCCACTTATAAGTGACAACATACAGTGTTCGGTTTTCTGTTCCTGTGTTAGTCTGATGAGGATAACGTAGCTTCCTCACCTCTCTCAGCCTTCACAGAATTAAAGAGAATTAGGGTCTTCCTCTGGTTAGGCTTTGACTTAAGGAAATGTGGCTAGTTTGATCTTCTATCCACACCACTTAAACTTTCTTCACATCAGCAATAAGGCTGCTTTGCTTTATCACTTGTGTGTTCATTGCAGTAACACTTCAAGAACTTTATCTTCTAAATTATAAATTTCCTTTGAAAACTGGACCTTTGTATTCACCACTTGGTTAACTGGTGCAAAATGCCTAGTTTTTGGCCTATCTTGGCTTTACACAGGCCTTCCTCTCTAAGCTTAATCATTTCTAGCTTTCTGTGGAAAGTAAGAAACATGAAACTCTTCCTTTCTCTTGAACACTTAGAGGCCATTATAGGGTTATTAACTGGCCTAATTTCAATACTGCCTTGTCTCAGGGAATAGGGAAGCCTGAGGAGAGGGAAGAGGGAATTGCGGGTCAGTGAGGCTGTCAGAACACACATTTACCGATTAAGTTTGCCATCTTACAGGTGTGATTCATGACACCCCAAAACAATTACAAAAGTAACATCAAAGATCAACATACTTGACGTGAGAGTAATGAAAATGTTTCAAATATTGCAAGAATCACCAAAATGTGACAAAGAGACATGAAGTGAACATAGGCTGCTGGAAAAATGATGCCTACAAACTTGCTCGACGCAAGGTGGCCACAAACCTTCAATTTATAAAAATCACAATTATCTGTGAAGCACAAAGAATAAGGTGTGCCTTTATATGAAACTCTGGGGTCAATCATAATATTTAAGAGAGCAAAAGGGTAACAATACCAAGAAATTTGAGAACTGCATATCCCAAGGTTTAAGTTAAAAATCAATGAGGATAACCACATTACCAAAAGAAAAAAAATCACACAATCATTTTAACAGAAAAAGCACTTAACAAAATTTAATAGTCTTTCATATTCTAGTTCTAGTTGTAGTGAACTAGAATAAGACAAGATGTCCACTCATTTTGTTCCTTTTTTTTTTTTTTTCAAAAATTAATCTTCAAGAGACCAACTCTGCCCTCAGCCCTCCTGAGTATGCTGGAACTACAGGTGCCTGCACCGCGTCCTGGCTAATTGCTCTCTTTTTTTATTACAAATATAGCAGTACTAGCAGAGCCTGTGTTTCCACC